TGGGGAGCAGCCACTGCAGGAGCCCTAGCGCCTTCCTGCCCCCACCGCCACACACCCCCCCCCCCACTCCACAAGCAGCTGGCCTTGCCTCCTCTGAGCGGAGGACTCTGAATTCATCCTCTGCGCACGGCTGTTGAGCCCCTACAACATGACAAGTGACTAAGACAGCTGTGGCCCTCACACCCCAGCGGCAGAGAGAAACTGAAATCCGCAAGCAGACACGACAATTGGGAGGGAAATATGAACAGTGACGTGAGATCCCCTCTGGGGTTATGCGTCCCCAGAGTGAGAAGGGGGAGACAGGGACATGGACCCTTCCTGGATGGGTGTCAGGGAAGGACTATCGGGGCAGAATTTAACCTGAGGCCTGAAGGACCGGGAGCGTCCCCAGTGGCTCAGCAGTAAAGAATCGGCTGCAATGCAGGAGCTGCAGGAGCCACAGGTTCGATCCCTGGGTCTGGAAGATTCCTGGAGGAGGGCATGGCAACCCACTCCAGTATTCTTGCCTGGAGAATCCCCATGGACAGAGGAGCCTGGCGGGCTACAGTCTGTGGGGCCGGGAAGAGTTGTACATGACTGTAGCGACTTAGCATGCACACACGCTGTAGGACCAGAAGGTCACCCTTGGAGGAGCTGGAAGGGGGACACCCTGGGGAAGACACGACCAGGGGCCCTAGAGAACAGCCCTGCTTTGTGGGTGGTGGCGGGGGGTGTGGAGTAGTGGAGGGTTAGCAGAATGGGGGAGGTGTAGAGAGAAGAGTGCAGGAGGGGACAGTGGGACCCCCAACAGGCTGGGTGCACCTTCAAGTCCCTGGTTAAGTCCTTAAGATTTCTCGGTAAGCACAGAGAGTGTGAAGGGCTTTATACAGGCAGACAGGACCTGATCTGAAAGTTGCAGTCCTGGGACTGGGGGTTGGGGCGGGGGGGACAGATGCTTTTCTCCTTCCTGTTTCCTAATCAACACAGCTGGAAAAACAGCTGCAACAAAAGTAACTTTCTTACCTTCTTCAGTATATCCCCAGTACTTATTTCTGTCCTGCACTCTGACCTAAAGAAACCAAATATATATTTTTTCTCTCTCTCTTTTTTCCTGAACTACTCAGCAAAAAAAAAAAAAAACACGGCCTCTGGAGAAAAAATTTTTAAGTGTTCTGCACACACAGACAGCGTCATGTTCAACACATTTGGAATCCGTTTTTATCTGAGGCTGAACTAGTTTGCCCTCAAAGCTGCTTTCTATTAAACTGTTTGCATGCACACTGTCCTTCCTTCCTGCAGCTGGCACCACCCCCCCGGCCCCAGGCGAATGCTGGCCCCCGTCCGTGGCCCTGAGGAAAGGGCAGTGGAAAGACATGTCTGGGCAGGCGGGCTGCCTTTGGAGGGGACACCCTCCTTCTCCAGCTTGGCGGAGGCAGGCACCCTGCTCAGGGAGGTTCCCCCCAAAGGTTCTCCCTGCTCAGACTCAGCAGGGGAAGTCAGTGCACACAAGTCGCTCAGCAGTGAGGAGCAAAAACGTTCTTTGGTCACAAGCCCAGAAATGTCTCTGGCAAGCTCAAGCTGAGGCGGGTTTACAGAAGATGTGAGGGGGCCTTGAAGAATGAAAGGGAAAGTAGGCTGGCTGATCAGGCTCTGAAAAGGCAGGAGCTCAGACAGCCCGGGGGTCCCGGCGGCAGGGGCCACACTGGCTTCCCCGTGTCATTTTCCTGTGGTTGGCATTCAGCTACTGCTCCAAGCGAAGGATCTGCTTGGTCTGATGGATCCGGTGTCCCATGGCCCCAGGTGGGTTGGGGGAGGGGCACTGTGACTGGTGCCCCCACAAGACTGTCCAGGGGGCTCAGAAATAGATCCAGAAGGAGATGCTGGCCTCTGCGCCCAGAAGACGTGGGCAGTGACCACAGGTGTCCCTAGTAATTTCCATTCATTAAAAGTGGCAGGAATAGCACACTCAGGAAGGAGGGTCTCGGTGTTAGTGATGGAGAGCCCTTCACGTGAAATCCTGGCCCTGGGGGAGGAAATGGGCCCAGACTATAAGACACCAAGTTGACCACTGGACCCGTGTATGTGGGGGGCAGTCACCCCAGTTTCACTGGGTTATGAGCAAATGGCCCTGGGGAGACTCAGCCATGACCTCACATGGCAAGTGCCATTCAGAATGAGTTCAATCCTCAAGTCCAAGTTTTGTTGGGTCTGTACTGCCTCCTCTGAGATTCCCTGTTGTTCTTGCTCCCGAGGTGACACAGTGCAAGGTAATCTCACCGCTCCTTCCCCCACCCCCAGCACTGCAGACACATTTATAAAATCCTGTGGTGGGACACAGTAGTCTTCACTGAATCAAGGGGCTCCTCCCAAACTGAGCCTCATTACAAACCAGTCCCTGCCCCCCTCTCCTAAATAATCAATCCTCCAACTAAGGGAACAAAATGGAAAGAGCTGGAAGAGATGTTTTCACTCTCCCCACTTCCAACTACTATCAGCAAAAAAAAAAAAAGCAGTTTAGTCAGTGGAAACCAGTCTCTTGTGTGGGTGTCTGCAGTTTAATATCCTTTCATTTCCGATTCCATTTTGCAAAGCCACATTAGTTCGACTTTAAATTTTCAAGCTCCTTTTTCTGGGGCTAGAAACTCATCTCAAATAGCTTGCTGCTGGCAGGAAGGCTAGCCTCCCGGGACCAGCAAGAGCCAGGTCAGAAACACCCTGCAAAGCTGGTTTATCAAGATAATCCACATCCTGCTGGGACCTGCCAGGGATGACAGGAGAACCCACTCTCCACGTTGGCTCAGAAGCTGAAAAGAATATCCCCCAGCCACAGCAGCTGCATGGGATGCGCCCACGCGTGCCAAACATGAAATTACTCAGCGGGAGCAGCTCACGCAGGGCCCAAACCAGCACCCTGCCTGCAAAGAGAGCCCGCACGGCTGGCTGCCCTCCCAGGGCTCGGTGGAGCTGAGTCCTGCGTGTGGCCACAGGATGTGCTATTCTGGCCAGCCTCCTTCCGGTGAGACTACCACATCCTGGACACCTTGCGAGCTGTGTGATCCTACACCGGGGTGTGCCAGCCTCCCCGCGGGTTATTTAAAGCCAAGCCATCTCATCACACCGAAAGGTCAGGCTTTATCCCTCCGTCACAGTCACGGGCTTGGACATTTGGGGAGCCTGGCAGGCTTGCGTGTGTGTGCCCAGTCACTTCAGTCGTGGCCGACTCTTTGAACAACCCTATGGCCCGCAGCCGGCCAGGCTCCTCGGTCCATGGGACTCTCCAGACGTGAATACCGGAGTGTGTTGCCATACCTTCCTCTAAGGGGATCTTCCCGACCCAGGGATCAGAACCGCGTCTTCTGCGGGAAGCCCCCTGGCCAGCTTAGGAGGCTATAATTTCACCACAGTATTAGCTATGTGGTCTCAGGCAGGTGACTTAAGCTCTCTGAATCCCTATTCCTTCCTATGTCAAACGGGAATGATAAAAGCCATTGACTGAATAGGTGAAAGTTATAAATGAAGGCAGAGGCTTGTCCAGTTTTGGAGCTTATCAAGTAGTTAGTATGACTACACTGTGACCCATAAACACATTTTGAAAGATGAGTTGTTACAGAAATCCCATGGTAACCTAACAGAAATAGTATGCAATCGAGACCTCTCTAAAGGTCAGTCACCTACGCTGGGCACAGGGCCTATTTCTGCCCTGATCAACAGCACAAACGAAAACAGCCTGTGCTATCTCATTGCGGTCTGACCTCACAGCTCAGATCGGGTGAAAGGCCCAGAGAGCTGGAAAAGACCACTCTGCCTCTCCATTATGACCTTTTCCTGGTCCAGAAACAAGATTCCAGTCTATCCCAATTCCTCCTTCCAGATGAAGTCTGAAAAGTGACAAAGTGTGGAGAAACCAGAAAATCTCACCTGGCACCTGCCGCTTAGCAAACCAAACCTCTGTTATCAACATACCAACAAGTGGGAACTGTTGATGGTCTAATAAAAACTGGACTTGATTTCAGCCAAGATTTTGGGCTTCCTTGGTGGCACTAATGGTAAAAAACCTGCCTGCCAAATGCAACAGACGTAAGAGACCTGGGTTCAATCCTTGGGTTGGCAAGATCCTCCGGAGGAGAACATGGCAACCCACTCCAGTATTCTTGCCTGGATAATCCCATGGACAGAGAAGTCTGGCGGGCTACGATCTATAGGGTCGCATAAAGTTGGACACAACTGAAGCAACTTAGCACGCACGCATGAAGATTTTGCTAAACAAATCAACAGAACAAAAATGACTACAAGAAGAATATTTCAACAGAAAGCAAGCCATTTCCCAAACTGAGCTCTTTACATCTCAGTTAAAAAAAAAAATCTACACTCAGATAGTTGTAGTTCAGAGTTACACTCTTGCAGGAGGGTCCTATGCACATTAGCATAAGAAAAGCTTTGAGAAGTGCTTTGAGGACAAAATTGATTAGCTTTGCTTTAATTCAAGGTTTCCAAAACTTTTTTGAGTGTGAAGTATTGTTTTAAAACACATCTAGTAACTCTGCAAAAGCCCAGTTTGGGAGACCTGGTTTGTTTTCAGAGCAGTTGTTTACACGTTAATAATGGTTAACTTCAAAACCCAGTAAATTCTTTCTACCACGGTGAGTGCACGAAGGAACACAAATCTGTAGCAACAGTTGCCTCAGGGGTAGGAATGGAACGGAAACTCACTTTTCACTGCTTACCTACTCATTTCTTTATAAGCCTACTGCTTTGATAAAAATTTTGAACATTATTATTAAAACCCTGATCTTATAGCCTGCTTATTCAAGAAGCTTCCATGAGGTCCCACCCTTTACCCACCCGAGACCACACTCAGCATCTCCCGAATGCTCTCCTTTGATCCAGACCTGACTGGCTCGGTCCTACTTGCGAAACTCACAAAATCAGGGAGCTCTGGTGTCCTTGGACCTCTCCGGATGTAGCCAGGCATCAGCCAAGGCACCTGAGAACTCGGTCCTGCAGGTGGGAAACCCGCCTACCTGGTGGTCGATTTTGATAAGGGCAATGTCCGCCTTCTCGTCTACGTCTTTGATCTTGGCCTCATAGGTGGCGCCGTTCTTCAGCTCGACTTTGACCCGGTGCTTGTTGGTCACCACATGGGCGTTTGTCACAATCAGTCCATCTTCGGACACGATGAATCCAGACCCGCTCGCCACTGGCACTTCCCTCTTAGAAAAAGGAAGCCTAGAACCAAAAAGAGTGCCCGGTTAAAGCCGAAACATTTAAAATCGACCCTCTGACACATTGATGCATCGGTTCTATAACAGCAAAAGACACCTATTACTAGCAATTGCTACTCTGCACAATGGCTTTACTAAACTTTAAAAAAATAGAATGAAAATAAAATAAAATAAAAAAATAGAATGTTAGACTGACTTTTATTTGCATCCCCAAATTCCACTTAGAAAATATTCTTAGGGAATCTCTTCAGAAGCAGAGGCTCTTAAAAACATGTAGAAGGGTCAAGAATGAAGATTTCAATAGGCAAACATGAAAATATCCCAAGGGAGAAGAGCTTATCTTCGTGTAGGACTGTATTCAGTGATACTCTAAAGTGTCTCAGAAATAGTTCTGATGTTTTGCTTATGGCAGCAGTTTTCGTGGGAGCTTCGGAGACTGGGGGAAAAAAGGAAGGCGCTCTTTACTTGCGAAACAGTTCGATATGAACCACGGCAGGAGCTATCTTCTCCACGACATCGGCAATAAAGTTGTATTTATGGCGCAGACTGTTGGGATCTTCCTGACCTAAGAACAGAAACAAAGACAAGACACTTAAAGATCCTGTGCTCTGTGCTGTGGGTTAGAAGAACCAAAAAACCTAAAGGAAGGTGAAGACAAAAATCCCAGACCTGGGCTCAGAAACAAAGATCTTTCCAGCACTTGAGGAAATTCCCACTCAGATGCATGTGCGTGTGTGCTAAGTCACTTGAGTCGTGTCTGACTCTTGGCGATCCTATGGACTGTAGCCCACCAGGCTCTTCTGTCCATGGGATTCTCCGGGCAAGAATACTGGAGTGGGTTGCCATGCCCTCCTCCAGGGGATCTTCCCGACCCAGGGATCGAACCCACATCTCCTATGGCTCCTGCATTGCAGGTGGATTCATTACCACTGAGCCCCGTATAAGACACCAATACCCACCAAAGATGACCTCTTTGCTTGGCTTCCTTGGTCTCAACTGTTTCATCACGAAAATGTTGAACCAGAGGTATCAGCAGATACCTGGGCCTCCTTTAGTATTCCAAACAGTGGGTCGCCCAAGGGTCACCTTGACATCGCAACATCCACCAGTGTCCCTTCCCTGACTCCCCCAGAACCACACAGCAGCCCTTCTTAGCATACCACCGCCGTTGAGGGGAGGGCTGAAGCTATTTCTGATGAGATGATACCCATCAGATGTTAGAGATTTAAGAGGCTACTATGAAAAAGCACTAAGGCAAAGGCACAGATAGTGTCCCCACAGCAGTTTTCCATCTTAATCATTCACTCCACTCCTCCCACACCAGGACATCCCAGGCCAAAATATGCCTTGATTCTACTGGGGGGAAAAAAAGGGGAAAATCCAATGACCAAAATTCTCTATGTAAACATATGCACTATAATTAGGGAATCCCCATACCGTGGGCATTTGCAAAGCCACTTTCAGACAAAGCTATCACAGATCCCACATAGGGTTTCAAGGAAGGCAAGAAGTTAGTTGCCACCAACCCGATGCATGCACCCATGGCACCTGACTCAGCAATGAGCTACTGGAGACTCAGGGTACCGAGCCCCCATTCTGTGGGTACCCGAGTGGCAGAGGCAGTCTGAGCCTCTTACTTTGACACCAAACCTGTGCCACCTGGTCATACCCCAGAATACAAGTCTTTCTGCTTGGACAGCAGAGGGGTTCCAGGTCAGTCTGCAGCCAGGAATCCCATACCCTGCCTTCCCCTCCTCTCTGCCTCGGCCATGAGTCTAGCTTAGGGCAGCACCCAGCGCTCTGCCAGCCTCACTGCCACCCAGACTGGGGGGGAAGGGACTCACAGGGAGTTTCCAGAAACCTACAGAGAAATTTGACAGAGAAATATAAAAAAATTTGTAATAGGGCTGGTTGTGTCTTTTCTTATTATTGTGTCTTTTCTTATTTTCTTATTACTACATCTTGGTAGTAATTCATTTTTAGTGCATTCTATGAATGTATTGATCCATGATGGGGAGGAAATAACAAGGAAAGGAGCCCTGATCCTTCACCACAGGTGGTCTGAGAGGCCCTGGTCTGCCTCCCTCACAATTCACACTGTGGGGTTCACAAGAAGCTTGAAGTTTAAAAGGAAACCACTGGCCTGCAAAACTGCCCCTCACGAACAAAGGGTCTGTGCACCCCACCCCCAACACACACATACAAGCCCACACCTACACTTACACATTCATGAATACGTGCTCACACACACATATGCACACATTCACTCTCATACTCATGAGCATACACACATACACACACTCACAGGTACACACATATATAAAGGCATCCACACACACTCATGCACACACATATATACAAACTCCATCTGATTCTTACAGAAACACAGCTTCATATACACACACACACTCTTACATTCACACACATACCCAGTTATATTCACATATACACACATACATGCACTCTTACACACACATGCACACAGGATGCCTCCATGCCTGGGTATAGCCATTGCTCCAGGCTGTGAAACCTGTGACACTCTCAAATTCTCTATGGCTCTTGGAACTGCATATCCACAGGTGTCCCCAGTGGCTGTGTGACCCCACCAGGGACCTCAGTTCTCGGCTCTATACCCCTGGGCATAGAGACATCTTGGGGGCCAGCCTGCCTTTCCCAACTTTCCTTCCTGGAAGTGAGAGACCATCAAAAAACAAAGGGCCCCTCTCCGTCCCAGCTCTTGGACTCTGCACTGCTTTATTTCAGGGCTGGCATCCACTCCCTTTATGCACAGCTTGATTTTTCTAAGGTACAGAAAAAGGTCTGCAACTACTAGGCAAGATTAACTAACTCAGCAAATTTACTGTAGCATCATTTTTGTTATCTTAGTTTTCAGGACCCTATCAATTGGTACTATCAGAAAACCTTCCCTCATGATCCGCTTCCTGTGGAAGAGGAAAGTTGGATATTGTTCCCATGTGCTTTAGAACTGCGGTGCTGGAGAAGACTCTTGACAGTCTCTTGGACTACAAGATCAAACCAGTCCATACTAAAGGAAATCAACCCTGAATATACACTGGAAGGGCTGACGGTGAAGCTCCAATACTTTGGCCACCTGATGTGAAAAGTTGACTTGTTGGAAAAGATCTGGATGCTGGGAAAGATAGCAGGCAGGAAGAGAAGGGGTTGACAGAGGATGAGATGGTTGTATGGCATCACCGACTCAATGGACATGAGTTTGAGCAAGCTCCAGAAGACAGTGAAGGACAGGGAAGCCTGGCTTGCTGCAGTCCATGGGGTTCACAAACAGTCAGACACAACTGAGCAGGTGAACAACAACAACCTTTAGAGACACTAAGGCTCACAGACTAAAAGTGATTTCTATGTAGACATTAAACTTTCTCCATAGAGTGTACGAATCACAGAAAAACCTGAGCAAGTATACAACATTTCCAACCTAACACTGGCCCCAAACATATCTGCTGTCCTCCCAGGATTCCAGGTAGTTGTGGTGATTTAACTGGTGTGTCTCTCCGAGTTCTCCAATGGGAGAAATAAATAAGGGGATAGAAACATTCCTCCCCAACTCAGAACCTGGCGAACATCACCCAGAGACAGCTGTAAACAAGTGCCTCTGGGCTTCCTTGGACCTGCTCCTTGAGAAAGGCCAAGGGGAGGCTTAACTCCAAGAAGACCAGCAACCCCAGGGAAGTGTGGAGATTCTGAGAACCTCACAAGAAGGACAATTACTAGAGCCCTGCCACTAAAAATCATCCCCTCGTTTCCTCTTTCTACTTCCCACAAGGGCCTGGGAGAATCTGCCTACAACAGGGATGAAAATGAGCATGGGTTTTTCCAGCTAAAATGAGAAGCAGTTGCTTTCTTACACACGCTGGAGAAAGGGGCTCCAGGGTCTACCCACCTGGGACAGCAACATGGGAGAGCAGTGTCCAGAGCTAGCCTGGACACCAGAAGGCCCGGGTTCCAGCCACAGCCTACTGGGTGGTCTCCATTTCCCCGTCTGTAAAATGGGGCCAACTACTTCTAGAATGAGCTGTGAAGTCTATTCCTGCTCCAACATTCTGTGATCTAATCCTTGTCTCTCCCTCTCATTCCAACACGCTACAGCAAGAGAAAGAGACTGTGGAATCTGAGATTGGGCACAGGACTTGCCTAATTCTGCAGATGAGTAAACAGAACAGAAGGGCAGTGGGAACACAGACCACGCTGAGAAGCCCAAGGGACAAGCCTTAATTGTGCAGCTTAGATGAAAAAGCAACGAGTGACCTCTGTTATCATTGGTGGATCCGTGTCAATGGGAGAAATAAACAGAGCAGAAAAACTGAACCGAAGCAGGATCAACCAGTAGTCCATATATGGGCAAAACATCAAACCAAAGAAGTGTTTGCCTTCTCCAAACACAAATTTCAAATGAGGAATAAAAGGGTCGCTAAGAGCAGCTTGACTCAGTGTCAGAGTCTGGTTCCATTTAAAAAGTTGTCCATCAAACTAGAGGAAGCTGCTGCTGCTGCCTCATGATCTTTAGAAACCCTGGTTGGCCCCATCTGCTGTGATTTCAACTGTGAGTCAACCATCTTCCTCCAAGAGGGGTCAGCTTGGGTGAAGAATTCCAGAGATGGACCTGGCTCTGCCATGACCCACTCTCTGAGTGATGGAGGCGGACGGAGAGCTGGGGCATCAAAGCCACTCAGCATGGGGAGGATGGGTCACAGCACCGGCTCTGTTCTCAGAAGAATCAGAGTGTGACACCTAGTCCAGGACCCTGGCTGTGTGACCTTAGGCGGAAGACGCCTCCAAGTCTTATCTGGTGGTTAGTCACTGAGTTGTACCTGACTCTGACTCTTGTGACCTCATGGACTGTAGCCCGCCAGACTCCTCTGTCCATGGGATTTTTCAGCCAAGAGTACTGGAGTGGGGTGCCATTTCCTTCTCCAGGTGATCTTTCTGACCTGAACCCCAATCTCCTGCATTGCAGGAGGATTCTTTACCATCTGAGCTACCAGCAAAGCCCATCTACTTTCGTGTGTGTGTGTGATTTTTTTTAAAGATATTTTTGATGTAGACCGTTTTTCAAAAGTCTTTATTGAATTTGTTACAATATTGCTTCTGTTTTATGTTTTGGGGTTTTTTTTTGTCCCCAAGGCATGTGAGATATTAGCTCCCCAATCAGGGACTGACTGGCACCCCTGCATTGGGAAGTGAAGTCTTAACCACTTGACCGCCAAGGAAGTCTCCTACTTCCACATGTTTTTGACACTGACTTTATGAGCTACTGTGTATGATAAAGTGCTTGGCCAAGTTATGGCATAGCTTAAAAATTAAAAACACCCAAAAAAACTGGTGGAGTTTCTCACTAGGCAGGTCCAGACAGGGTTGAGCACCAATCACCTCTGTAGCACAGCAGAAAAGGAAAGGGAGAGATGAACATGTCCAGAGAACCACTCTCCCACTCAGCAAATGTGTGCATGTCTTGGAGACTCCTAACAGGGCCATCATGGCCACCAGTGCAGAGGCAGCGATCAAAGCAGAGCTGTGTGGTAAGCCAGT